CTCTCTCTCTCTCTCTCTCTCTCTCTGCATCCCCTTTAACACAGTAGCCTGGGCTGGGGAAGTCCCCACACAGTGGCTGCTGAATCCTTGACAAATATTCATGAGCCCAAAGGGCATAGGATATTACCTAGCAGAGAAGAAAGATGCCACCCACAGAACTTTCCAGGAAACCCTTGGCCTGTTAAGACATGGGGGCTTCCACTGTGGTTACAGAGAGCAGGGGCCGGCAGCATTGCTGAGCCATTGCTGAGCTGCGCTGTGTGAGGGTGGGGAATGATGCTCAGAGGCCTTCCAGAGGGACTCTGGGACTTCACCTTCCAGTGTGATCACCAAGTTGCCTTTGTGTGCCACTGCTTCTCTTTTTTTCATTTTAAAGATTTATTTATTTATTCATACAAGAACTGAGGTACAGGCCAGAGGTGTGGGAGGGGGGGAGAGGATTTACCAGAGACAGAGTAGGGAGCAGAACAAGCAGATGTACTGACACACACTGCTGAGGGGAGCAGTAGGAGAGACAGGAGCAGTCTGCTGCACCATGTGCGTCAGCTCCTTGGCCGGGTATAGAACTCGTGCTGCAGTGGCTGTGGACAGCTTCCTAGTGTTGTGCTTTAACCTGTTGCACCACAGGGAAGGCCTGCCACTGCTTCTCTTCCTGTGACAAGGCAGGTGTGTCCCCATCCTATGGCTCAGGACCTCAGGTTGCCTGAAATGGCTCGCTCTTTGGGTTTGCGAGGGTGCCTCTCTTCTTTGCATAGAACAAAAAGATCCCTCTTTGTTCCTGGTCCCCCAGTTTCACCTTTGTATCCCCTGGGGACAGGTCTTTGGCCTCAGAGTTGTCGCTGCGTCACTGTGGGACAGCCAGCAGGTCCCACTCTCTGGTAATAGTCTCCCCTCTTGTCCAGGGTTAAAGTCCCGTGACAGAGCTGTCTGTGACCAAAGTCCAGAGCTCTTTGCATACTGCAGGCAGAAGTCTAGGTCCCCAGGCCAGACCGCAGGGGTGCTGCGGGTTGAGGCTGTGTCCCAAGATTCATGCATGAGTCCCAAGAGACGGACGCAGAGTGGAGGGAGGGCAAGCAGGCCTCAGGTCTGCTGTATCATTCCAGGCATGACCTGGATGGGCCTGCTCCCTCCTTGCCAAATGACTAATGAAGGTCACCCAGGGAGCACTTCCCAGTGTCAAAGCCCTTTTACTACCTGGTAGTCAAAACAACCCATTTTGGCTGGTCATTATCATTACCCTATTTAATATCCTATTGACTAGTTGAGGATCCAGTTGAGGAAACTGAGGCTCAAGGAGACTGGCGGATTCCAGCTGCAGAGGTGGGATTAGAAGCCAGGTCTCCTGACACCCAGCATTGCAGGAGCCAGCTGTCTTGCTGGCTGTTTTCTCCCCACGCCCACGTGGGGCCTTTGTTCACAGCACTCCCCTTTGTCAGACTTGAACTACAGCCTTGCCAGGACCAGAGCTGTGTGTCCCGAGGCATGTACTGTCCAGTCCCTTCCCTGGAGTGCACACAGGTACGTGACAGCGGCTGAGGACAACTGTAAACATCCCATACAGAGAGCGCACCCCACGAAAACTGCCTGCCTGGGGGGATTTGGAACCCACCTTGTCCCCTGCCCAGTTAATTTCCCCAAGTCGGCCAGGTGACTGCCAGTAGTGTGACAAGCAGTGGCCACTGGGTGGCGGTGTGTTCTCATGGCTGGGAACAGACAGGTCATGGGCCGAAGGAAGTGGGGGTGGGGTGCAGAAGGCAGGCACCTCAGTCAAGGCTGCCCAGAAAGGTTGCAAGACCCGATCTCCTGGAAAACGTGACCTGGCAGGGCTGGGTATGTGTGTGTGTGTGTGTGTGTGTGTGTGTGTGTTGCTGTCAAAGGGTCAAGGATCCTGCTGAAGTGGAGCTGAGTGTGGGGAGGGGTGAGGTGGGACAGAGGGACAAAAATATAAAGGAAACCAGGGCAGCCCGCAGAAGTGAGCAATGCGCATACCTGGGAGAGGGCTGGCAATGTAAGGGGTGAAGCCATTTTGCAGCTTCAGGAACAGGACTGAAGCACTGGACAGAGAGAGAGAGAGAGAGACCACGAAAGAAATAGAAAGAGGCCAGGGACAGAAAAGGGAAAGATAAGAGAGGCTGGCTAAAGGAAGTAAGTCAGAAGGCTGGGGTGGGAGATGCGAGCTCCCAGAGGTTGGGGAGAGACTGAAACCTGCCCTGGTCAAGAATGATGCAGTGGGTGAAAGCCCAGCGAGTCACAGCCACTTCAGTTTGAGTTTGCTCTGGGGCACCAGAGGTGACCCACATGGTGCAGCAGACCCCTCCTGACCCGCCCTCTGCTCCCCTCAGCAGTGTACTTCATCAGTCTGCCTGTTCTGCTCCCCACTCTGTCTCTGGTGAAGCCTCTCACCGCCCCCCGCACCTCCGGCCTGTACCCCAGTTCTGTATGCATAAATAAATAAATCTTTTTTAAAAAGAAGAAGAAGCAGCCAGACTCAGGCTTGCTGCTGAGTGGGGTTTATTTGGAAGGGGCTGCAGGAGGGGAAGGGCTGGTGCCTCAGCTCCAGGTCAGGGCAGTTCTGGCTCCAGTGTCACCTCCGGTACCAGTTCCGGCTCGGACTCTTGCCCTGGCCCTGCTTCTTCCTGATCTAGTTCCGGCTCCGGTTCTTCCTGCTCCAGCCCGCCTGTCTTGCTCTGAGCCTGAGGTGGGTGAATCCCATGCTCCAAGGCTGAGAATCTTCTTGGTCGCCATTGCTACAAGATAAGGAAAGAATGATGAAAGGTGAGAAGAGAAGCAGGAAGGGAGTCAAGAGGACACGGGTGTATCCATGCGGTCCCAGGTGTTTTCTCAGCCCCTTTTAGCTTCTCTTGGTCCTTCAGGAATAAAGGACCCCTAGAGAATAAAGACTTAGGAAAAGGGGACACTGAAGGAAGGGGTGCCAGACACTGAGTGCCAGTACTGAGTGCTGGGGAGCAAGAAGCCATCCTGGGTATCACTACTGACTTACCAGTTTTCTCCAGAGGTGAAAGCCAAAGGCTCCAGTCATCAAAACAAACAGAAAGAGGGCACCGAGGATGAGGAAGAGAGAGAGATGACCTGTTTTTAGGGTACCTAGGGTTCCCCCCAAGCGTTGAGGACCTAGGGAGAAAGCAGAGGATTAGGGGTAGGATTATAACGGAAAGGACCTTTCGCCATACCCACAGAGTTCACATACGCAGAGAAGGAGAAGCAGGAGTTTATGGGACTGGTCCAGGACCATTCTGCTGTTAGTGGCAGAAGTGGGTCAGGCCTAGACTAAAACTGGAGATCAGCTGGTTGGAAAGAAAATGTGGGAGGTGTGCGGTGGAGGCCTGGAAGTGGAATCCAGGTGAGTGTCAGCAGTTGGGCTGTGTTCTTGGGGGGGGCGGGGGTGCAGACCTGGGCCAAAGAGCTCAGTGAAGTACTCCGCTGTTCCAAGAAGCCTCTCCCCCTGGTACAGTTGGCACTGCCAGGGCTGGGAAAGAAGACTGGCTTCCTGCACAGGCAGCCAGGGTCCTGGGGAACTCCTCCAAGACTGCTGGTCCAGCAGGCTCCAGACAAAGCGCTCCTGTCCAGATGCCGGAGTCACCTCGCAAAGTAGTTTTCCCAAGTTGCCAGGTAACCCAAAGGATTTAAGAGTCACTGGAAAAGAGGATATCTTTGGGGGCACCCCACTACTACCCTCTTACTTGAAACTACAGGCCTAAGCCTCAATGGCCCTGCATGCTGATTGGGTGAGATTGATGGGAAAATCAGGGTTATGGTCAAATGAACATCTTACCCAGTTTCCCAGACAAAGTTCTGATCAGATCACTCTACCTCTGAAAACCTTTGCAGGCTCTCTAGTGCCTTCAGGACACTGTTTAGACTCAGACTTCCCTGGGAAGGAGGGTTTAACACATACCCTTTCAGATTCTTGTGCATTACTTTCTATTCAAATGCTCAGAATTTCAGTATCATTCAGGTAAACTGACCTCTAGATACTTCGTACTTTTCTCGCCTCCACAACTTGAACATAATTCACATCAGTGCCTCCTGCTTAGAGGTGCCTCCTGACTGAATTTTGCTCCCCTTTCCAAAAGTTTAGAGAACAGGGAATTGACCGACTGAGCTAAAGACAGGATAGGCTTCGGGGAAACAAGTGAGAAAGTGAGGTACACCTGACTGGAGGACAGGCAACTGAGTTTAGACCCCAACTCTGGCGCATCCCAGCTGTGTGACCTTGCGAGAGCTCCTTCTCTGAAAAGCGGGGGTGACAGTATCTGCCACGGAGTGGTCATGCAGACAGCATGGAAACATGAACCAAAACAACTGGCCTTCAGGAAGACCCTGGGCAGGAAGGCTGGGTGGGCTTTGGCAACTGGTGGGTACAAGGAAGCAGGGGGCAGATGTCAGGGTGAGCAGGATATAAGTGGAGTTATGGACTGAAAGGCTAAGTCAATAGGAAGATCCAGTGTGATGGAAAATGGGGTTCAATGTGAGGCCGAGGGATAGAACTATCTAGGTAGAAGTAGACAGCGAGCAGGTGAAAATCCATCATGAACTGTCAGGGGATGTATCTCTCGTCAGTGTCTCCATGTTTTCACTCAGCCAATATATTATGAAGCCCCTATTATGTGCTGCTACTTATCAGCCACAGGTGAGTCCTGTAGACACACCAAACGGTCATGGCTAACCGTTACCAATCCATACACACATACTTCCTGAGAATTTTTTTGTTTGTGTTTGCGTTTGCTTTATGCTGTCTTGGAAAACCCTTGCTTAGTAAATATTTGCTGACCAAGGGGCTGATTTATTAACTCCTCCCAACCCAGGCCATTTTCTGTGACTTTACCCCAAGCCCTAGTCCCAAAGTGGACGAGGACTCTAGAAATATATCCCAGTTCTTGGAAACCATTCAACCTTTTGCCACCTCCCCTTCTAACTTCTCAGACCCTCCTGAAATTCAGAACAGGGGAGTCCCTTAGACATGAATGGAACGTTTATCTGGTGACTCAGGGGAGATTTTCAGTTTCAGTTCTTTACATGGGGGTGAGGGAAGAAGGGACCACAAGGGACAGCCTCTATGACATGTGCCCAGGGGCCTGGCATCATGGGTGGGCTGGCCCAGTCTGCTCAGCAGGCCTTCTAGCTCCCCGGGGGTGCAGCCACTCCTTTCCCACCTGGGCCTGACCTGTGATGACTGCCAAGGTGACAGTGGCACTGAGCTTCTGCCTCTGCAGATGTACATGGCAGGTGTAGGTCCCAGCCTGGGCCTGGCTCACAGCCTCTAAGCGAAGGGTAAAGTTGCCGCTGTTTTCAGTCACCACGAGGTCAGGGCCTGGGCTGGGAGGGGTCCACTTGGCAGTGACAGGAAACTGGCTCCCCACCCCAAGAGGTAGGCGGCAGGGCAGCTCTACCACAGAACCTGCTGCTGCATATACTGTCAGAGGCACTGGGGGCTCCAGACCTGGAGAAGAAAAGAACCCCACATTAAAACTCAGAGGAGAGGTGCACAGAAGTCAAAGAGCTGAGTCTGCAGGGAAGGGAGGAAGAAGAGTGAAGCAGGTGGTTCAGGAGAGTACAAGAGACACAGAAAGGAGGAGGCAGTGAGGATGCTCAGAAACAGCCCCCCCCCCTCCCCTAGGCTGGAGCAGCAGGAGACCAAAGGCCTGCAAGTGAAGCCAAATAGCCAGGGGAAAGCTAGCAGGGAAGGCATAAGAGAAAGGGTCCAGACAGAGAGGCCCAGAGCAGTCCCAGGGGACCAGAGCTGCCCAGGACCTGTTTGGGGACCTGTAAGTCAGGGGGAGGTGATGACGGAAGGAAGGGGGTGTGGTCAAGTGTGAAGCAGACTGGAGGAATTACCAAGGACAGTGAGGTTGTATGTGACGACGACACTGAAGCCATCTCTGTAGCTGAGCATGCATCCCCAAGGTCCAGAGTCCAAGGGGCTGACTTGGGGCAGGAAGAGGAGGCTTCCAGCAAAATGGTGCTCAGGGGACTTCTCAACAGGAGCTCTGCCCGGGCCTCTGAACCAGCGCACAGAGGCTGGGAGGTCAGGGCGGCTGAAGGAGCAGTTCAAAATGACCCAATCATTGGTCCTGAGAGATCCTGGGGGGGTGGCTGTCACTGTGCAAGGACAAAGCAGAGTCCGTGAGCCCCACCTGAAACACCTTCCTAACGTAGTGGCGCCAGGTAAGGAGGAAGCGCCTGGAAACCAGGACTCCACTGTCAATATTTTTGTCTCCTGAAATAGTCCCTGCACCCGGGGACTTGGAGTGGCTCAAATGGATGTTCGGGACTCTCCTGTCCCTGTCTCCAGCGTTCTTGGCGAGGGCTACCCTTCCCTCTCTCCAGGTCTTTCCTGAGGAGCCCCAAGCCCACTCCCAGACTTACAGAAGTCTGAAATGAATCATTCTAACCCGGCCCTCGCCCTCCACTGGCAGACAGGGTGCCTCGCCTCCACCAGCCAGGCACTCCCGCAGTGGGTGGGGGAAGGGAGAGTTCGAGGGGTGACACTATCTCTCCCTAAGAGCCTCCCCCCATACACGTGCTTCTGGGGGCGCGCTCGCTCTGCACTCGCGCTCCCCACCTCCTTCCTCTCCCCTGCTAGGAGCTGGGGCCGGGCGAGGGCACATCCTTAGCCGCACAGCTTCTGCCCCAGCCCTTCCTGCCGCGGGGCGGCGGGGAATGGGGCTCCCTCGTCCCGCCTCTACCTACTCTGGGCCTGACCCACGCGCAGATGGAGGCGGCAGGCGAAGACGCGGTCGCGGTTCTGGTCCCGGTGCCGGAGGCGCACCGTGGCGCGGTACTCGCCGGCATCAGCGCGCTGCGCGGGGCGCAGCCACAGCGAGAAGTCCCCGCGCCGGAGCCCCCGCTCTCGCAGCTGCACGCGAGGCTGCAGGGGCGGCCTTCCGCTGCGCAGGCCCCCGGGAGTCAGCCTCAGCACCGTGTAGCCGCGCGGCCCCGTCCCCAGCCCGGAGGGCGCAGCGGGGCCGCGGCGGAGCGCCGGGGGAGGGCTGGGGGCAGCGCCCGGCGGGCCCCTGGGAGGAAGAGAGAAAAGTCGATGGACATTCCAGGGGGAGGTGCTGCCCGACCGCACCGGAGGAGGAGGCAGCCCACCCTGAGGGAAGCGCCCTTGACCACTCACGGTCCCGTGCCCCCGCCCCTCCTGCTGGGCTAGCACCAGCCACTACTGGGCAGGGACAGGTGCCTGGGCAGCCATCTGCTGCGGAGGAAGGGTGGGAGGGGTGTCCTGTGGCAGGTGAGGCTGAGCCTGGCTTTCTGACAGCTCAGGGGAGGGACAGAGGACTGGTGTCCAGTGGGGATGACTGCTGCATTTGGGGCATCTGTTGCCCAAGGTTGGGGTGCATACCAGTCTGGGAGGTGCTGCCAAGTGACTTCTGTCCGCTGACGGCTGAGATCTTGGAGGGGGATGGTGGAGCTGCAGGGGAGCTGGACAGGTGCCCCCTCCTCAGCCCACACCAACTGCACCTCTGCCTCATGCCCTGAAGCCCCCACTGGGGAGGAAAGGAGAGACCCAGGGGAAGGACCATGAGCCAAGACCTTTACGAACAAAGAATAAACTTCAGAGTCTCCTGAGGAAGCCCAGGGGTCCTGCTCTTTTCCTTTCCCAGGGGAGACTATAGGTAACGGACTGCCTCCAGAAAGGCACTGGAAGAATCCACTGCACTATGGAGGAACTTGGGATCTGTGCAGTCTGAGAGAAGGCCTGACTGACCCCCTCCTGTAAGGTCAGCCCCCACCCAAGCCCCATCTTACCTGGAGCCACCCACAGCAGTTGCTCCAGCAGCAAGACCAGGAACCACGCCTCCCACATCTCCTCTTAGGGCACTGGTCACAGAGCCCCCCAAGCAAGAGGTCAGAGAGGGTCTGCAGAGGGCAGTGGAGGAAGGGAATCTAGAAGACAAGGGCAGGAAGGGAGACCTGGGGAGAGAGGAGCAGAGGCTGGAATTCAGAGGCAAGCTGGACCCATCCGCAGCCCCTTAGAGCAAGGTGCTGGCTGGCCAGCAGCAGACAGCCGAGTGGAGCCCAAGTGGCAGTCTCGAGCTGGGAAGCTGCTCTGCTGCTCCAGAGCCCTGGCCCTGTCCTTCTGCCTTCCTTCCACCTTCCCCACTTCCCCTTCTCAGTTGCCCCCCCCCCACACACCCAAGGGCTCACAGTTTCGATTCGCAGTGGAAAGTCTGAGGGGGTTGATTCCCAGCAACGTTACCCTCCCCTGTGGTGGCGCTCCCCTTGTTTATTTCCTCAGTCCTAGGTGTCCCCCTCACCCTCCTGCTCCCCTCCCCCACCCTCCTGATTCCATTTCTTCCTGGAGGGACCTCAGAGGAGAAGCTGGCCCATCTCTAGGCTGCCTCCCAGCCCCACCGTTCATTGTCTTCTCTGCTCAGCATGCCCTGTTTGGCACTCATCCCCTCCAGTGTTTCTCCTGGAATTCCTCTGCTCTTGTCGACCTGCCATCATCCTTCATTCCCTGACTCCTGGGAATGAGGTGGTCAGAAAGCTTTACTGTCCCCTCAAAGATGTCAGGTCTGAGGACTGGAGTGGGAGAACACCTACCTTGCATTGAGTCTTTACTACCTGCGCAGCACTGTATCAGATGTTTAGCATGGTGACACGGTGAACACTACTATCCCCCATTGTACAGATGAGAAAACTGAGGCAGGCTCAGAGATGAACTTGCCAAGGTCAAACAGCAGGAGAGTGGAATGACAAAGCTGTGTGTTTGTGTCTGGGCTCTGGGTGAATTATATATGGGTGTTCTGTATGAGGGAGAATGGTGATGTCAATGAGCCTCTTCTGCTCACTCACACACACACCAACCACCTCCAGCTCAGGTCCTTGTTTGTCTGGGGGAGAATGATAACCAGGCACGCGCACACTCACACACGTGCACACACACACTCCAGCTCAGATCCTTGTATGCTCAGGGGGTTCCCCAACCCAGAGATTGTGAACGAAGAGAGAAGGCAAGGGTGAGACAGAAAAAAATACAGAAATCCTACAGTACAGATCAAACTGGAGAAAAACTGAGCACAACTAGGGAAGGAAACCTGAGACTTTTGCTCCCCACTGTACCTCTGGAACTACCAGCAGCCCTTGAGAACTCTCCCCTGCCTGGTCAGCATGCCTCTGGGGCCTGGGGGCATGTCTGATGCCAGGCCACTCTCACTGTGTGTGTGTGTATGTGTGTGTGTGGTGGGGGGGGTAGGGGTTCTAAGAGTAGAGACCCAGGCCTATCAGCCCTCTCCCACTTCCTGTTCCGGGGCTGTTTCTTCGCCTGGGCCTGGCTCAGCACAATGGGGTCAGGAGCTTTCCACTGGGCTCAGCAGTGTCTAGATCTGGTGTGAGCCAGTAAGTGTGTTTTGCTGGGGTGCAATATCCTTAAGAACCCAAAAAATGGGGTGGGAATCAGCTCTCAAAAGGCTGCAATCAATCCCTGTCCACCTCTGAAGTGCTGATTTCATCTTCTCAAGTGGATGGTGGTAGGACTGTGCACTTTTTTTTAGGACAGATCCTGACAGGATGGGGGGTTCCGCCAATCTGCTCCTTCAAGACCCCTTCCATTACCTTGACTGTCCCTCCCCCCAAAGCAGGAGACAGGTTAAAAACAGAAGCGCGACCGTTTCTTTATTAAATTATACAAAAAGGGGAGGGGAGGGGGGCAGCTGTGGGGCTCGGCCCAACCCCTGGCCCCACCCTGGTCTGGCACTGTCTGAGAAGGGGATCTGAGGGAGACCCAGGGATCAGGCAGGGTAGGGACGGGCGGGACATGAGGCTGGGATGCAGAGGTTATGGCAGAGAGGTGGGCTTGGCTCAGGGCAGGGAGGAAGAGAGCAGGGAGAGGGAGAGGAGCAGCTGGGGAGCAGCTGGGAGCTCAGAAGGAGCAGGTCAGATAGTGGGACAATGGCAGTGAGGATGGGGGGACAGTGTCTGGAGAGGCGGAAATGAGAAGGCTGGGGGGAGGAGGGTGGGGCTCCGGCTCAGGGCCCAGAGCAGGCAGCCAGGTGAAGAGGGCTGCACTTGTCTGTTCCCACCCCGCCTCCAGGCCGAGGGGCCTCCCACCCCCAGCCCATTGGCAGGGGGCTCATGCCGATGCCCCATTTTCTGTCTTCTGCCTCTTGGGATCCGCTTCATCCTGTGGAGAGGGAAAGCTGGGGTAGCCTTAAAACAGGAGAGGGGATCCCCCCATCCTAGCCCAGCTCCAACCGCCCCCCTGTGCCGCAGGGATCTGGGTCCAACTCCACAGGGCACCCAGCCCCTGCTGGATCCCTGACAGCCCCTCGGGCCCAAACCTCCTCTTCAGCAGCTCTCTTCAGCGCGGGCCCTTCATCGTCATCTTCTTCTTCTTCCTCATCTGAGGAGCCAGAAATGGGTCATTGGGGAAGGGCAGGAAACTCTGGCAGAGACCCCCTGTGGTCGCCCTCAGCCCTGCTTCAGGCCCTCAACCCCACCCTGATGGTGCCTTTGGGACCAGCCTCCCCCGCCCCTCCCCACCTTCTTCTTCCCCTTCATCCTCCTCCTCTCCATCCTCAGCAGTTTCTTCTTCCTCCTCCTCAGCTCCGTTTTCCTCCTCCTGTCAGGACCAGGGAAGGGACAGAGTGAGGTTGACTGTGTGCCTCCACCATCACCGCCCACCACTCAAGGAAAGGGTCCTGGGGGTGGGGGGGGATGCAGGAGACCCTCCACACCTCCACCACTTCTTTCTTCCTCTCTTTCCGGCTGGCTTTCTCCTCCACCTTCTCTTTCTTCTCCTTCAGGTCCTGCAAGAGAAAAAGAGGTCACCTTCCTCTCACCACAAACACCCTGCAGCCCTTACGTCCCTCTAGCCCCTGTTGTCCTTCTGCAGTGAGCTACGGTGTGAAAAGTGGAAGGTGGCCACAGCTTTACGACAGAACAGAGGTCCCGGGGACCTTCAGGCCACAAAGGGACCTCAAAGGGGTTGAGATTACACACCTCTTCCAAGACTCAAGGGAGAAAGAAAAGTGATGAAGGGGGAAAGGGGGCCAAGGTAGCCGCTTGCCACCCCCATTAAGTTCTTCCAAACCTCACTGCTGAAGAGTTGAGCTCAGCAAAGCAAATCCCGTCCATCTGCTCCAAGTCTGGTGCCCCACCCCCTCGCGGTCCCTGCCTGCTCCGTCTGCCCTGCTAGGCCTTTTGTCTACCTCTGGGGCTTTTTCCTTAGTGCTCTCTCCTGGGCATCCCTCCCAGCTTCGCAAGCCTTTGTCTCTCTCTGCCTGTGTCCCCTGAATCCTCAGACTCCTCCTCGGCCAAATACTGCAGGAATAAGGAGAGCCCCCAGCACGATTCCTGGCACCCCTCCCACCCTTTCCCCACTCCTACCCCAAACAGTTTAAGTAGTTTCCTCCGCGGCACAGGCCGTGGCATGTGCATTGGTGCAGTGGCAGGGTAGCTTCCAGGGGGAATGTAGGGAAAGGAGGATAAAAGGCACATGGGGAAAGAGCATCACGGTAGCAGAGGAGGCCTGAGATGGGGGAGGTACCTATCTAGAAGACCCTCCCACCACCTGGCCCTTCATCCCAGAGCCTAGCAGGCACACCCTTCCGGGCAGAGGCAGACCCCTCTCTCTGGATACCACCCACACTGGCCCTTCCAACTTAGATTCCAGGCCTCTCTGAACTCCACCCCACGGCAGGCACTGAGTGACACTGGGGTGTCTCTGGGTGACCTGCTCTGGTGTTGGTGTGCAACTGTGTGTATCTGATTCCATGTGGATGGAAGTTTTCGGTGTGAACTGATCTCTGTGGGAGGGTGTGTCCTTGCTGGACCAGGACTGGGAACAGGAGAGACAGCTGGTGCAGAATGGCTGGGCAGAAGGGACACCCTATTCCTTTACCCCTTTAAGGAGAGCACAGAACACCTGATCCTTTCACTCCCCCTAGGTTTCTTCTACCTGCTCCTTTGCTGTCCCCACTGCCCTGCCACAGGGTGGGCTGATCCTTCATCCTGAACCTGCTGGGAGAGCCAGGGGTTTGTCAGCCGCCTGGGTCCCCAGCACCAGGTCTGTGTGACTTGGGCGCGAGTTTCTCCTCTGGGGTAAAGGGGTAGGGAGAGTGCCAGGGAGGGAGACGACCAGAGACCAAAGTCCAAGGGGCAGGGCCCTCTCCTCCCCTGTCCTGTCCTGCTGGTCACTGTCCTTCCATGATCCCTTTTCCAGGAGGGTATGTGACCCAGGCCTTGTGCTAAGCAGCTCTCTGGCCTCATTTACTCAGCACAGGCACACACACTGACACAAGCTGACACCGATTCACACACAGCAACAGAGGCGCGCCCACGCGACCCGGAGACACACGGCTGGCCAGGGTTTGGGCATAGCCTGGCACATACTCTGAGACAGCACGAGAACACGGCGCAGCCGCTGGCACTCACAAAGCGGCAACATGGCTCCAAATCACCTACGTCTCCACATGCACACATGTAACTGACACGGGCAGTCCCACACACTCACTGCATTTCAGACATACAAAGACACCTACTCAGTGAAGTCACATGCCAGCGCACAGCCAGCCCACCGGAGGGCCACACGGCACACCTAGTCAGATTTCACACACAGCCCCTTTCTCCACCACCGTTAATCCCATCCGTGTGCCCTTCCACTTCCCAGGCCTCGGGGAGGCCTCCGTGACCCTCCGCGGCGGGGCCTCCCCATCCCCAGATCGCGCTCCCAGCCCCCAAGCCCTGGCCGAATTAATTTCCCAAAGCGACGTTCAGCAAGTTCCCGAGGGAAATTAGAGGAAGGTTGGAAGCGAGGCAAGGGCAAAGGGATGGGGCCAGGGCGGAGAGCCGACGAGCGCGAGGACGACGCCGCGCCTCTCCCTCCGCTTTTTCGAAGGTTATTCCCTCCCCGCTCCTGATTTTTAATAATTCAAGATTCTTTCAATGTGGGGAGGAGAGGGCGTTTGTGGAGGGGACAGAAAGCTGGCGGCCAGCGGCGAGAATGTACACAGAGGGAAGAAGAGAATGTACACAGAGAAGGAAAGGAGGGAACGAGAGAACAGCCAGTGGCAGTCCGCGGCCAGCCGAGCCTCGAGGGGAGGGGCCGGCGCGGCCTCCCGGGAGAGTCCTGTTTACACTCGAGGATCTCAGACCGCTTAGCGGCGAGGTGAGGTCCGACTGGAGAGTCGGCCGGACGCGGCGCGGGGCCGGGGCACGGCCAATGTGAGACGTGCAGCGCTCGGCC